GCTTGTTGTGTTGCAAGAACTGAGGCACTGGGGATGCAGGAAGAAACATAACAGACATGGTCCTTGCCTTCAGGGAGCTTAGGGTCTAATGAGGAACGCAGAAAGTCCCCAAAAAGATTCGCAAGTAAGCATGAAAGGACAGGATTGCATATACTTCCAGGCAGAGAGTGTGGCGCTGTGAGGGCAGGTGAAAGGAGATTTAATTCCATCAGAAGGGTCACCATGTCCATACCCGAGACTGTTCCCGTGCATCGCTGTTGCTAATTATTTTCGCAGTGTCCAATTGCTGGTTGTTGAGATTCTTTCCACATTAACAAGGCCATAGTAAACCCCCTTCTGCAAGCCATCTCGGCACACTTGATTCGTTCCTTAGCATATGTTCCTGCACGTGGACTTGCAGAGTCAGGGGCAGCCCCACGCACAGCCATGTGCCCCCCCACCAAAGCTGTGTCCTTTCCATTCCCACCAGCGGCGTAAGAAATAGCCCTGTCCCTCCACATTCTGTCAACAGCACCTGTTGTCATCATCTTTATGAAATGTGGCCAATGTTATGAGCAAAATATGGGTTCTGGTTGTTTTAATTTGCATTCCTTGGATCATTCCTGAGATTGGCCATGTTTTTTCATTTGTTTCTTTTATGGGGTCACAGATCTTTCCTGCGGGTGAACTCTTTTTCTTTTCCTGTGTGATTTTCAGCTCGCTCTGTTAAGAATTGTAAGCTCTGTCTGTCAGATGTGACTGCCCACTCTTTGGGCAGCTCCAAGTGTTGTAAGTCCTCCTTCTATGGACACTACAGTGTGTCCCGTCCGTCCCACCGGCCGGAGCTTTCCCATGTGCTCCAGGACAGGATCCACAGCCCACCTGGTCAGGTCCCACCTATACCCACCCCTGCCCTCCACAGTCTTCCACACCTATCCTAAGTTCCACTCACACCTTCCCCTGGGTCAACCCTGGAACATGGTCGGGGGGCTTGGGGGCCCCAGCCCTTGCTCAAGCTGGTCTCCCTCCCCTTTCTTCCCTAGTAAACACTTCAGGACATAGCTCGGTTCGAGTCACCTCTCTGAGAAGCTCTTGCTGACTCCCTAGAAGGGCCAGACCCCCACTGTGCTTCCCTCTGCCCAGCAGTGACCACACCAACTTGTCACTGTTCATTTTGCAATAATTCCACCGGAGTGGGGCCCCCCAGACAGGCATGGGTCGGATGCATCTCTCTATCCCCAGTGCCTGGAACGCAGTGTGACATCAACAGGTGCTTGATGAGCATCTGCAGCCAGAATAAACGAAGGAACAAAGGAAGAATGAAGTCTCCCCCTACCCTTCTCTGCCCCCAGGCTGGATGATCAGGCATCCCAAGCCTGCTGTTGCCCCCCTACCCACCACCCCAGGTCTGCGCTTGTTAGGTTCGATGTGGAGAATGGGCAGGTGGTTTGGGAATGTTCACCCTGTGAAAAGTCACCTGGGGGACCTCTTATCTGACCCAAGTGCTTTCTGCGTCTCTCTGGCCCTCCCTTGCCCTCCCCCTAAGTGATCTCTGAACTGGGCACTGCCTGGCCAGGGTTCTGGTATCTTGCACGGAAGACCCAGCCTCTACCACGGCAGGGTGTTCTGCACGGCGGGGCTTGCGGTCAGCATTGAGGAATCTGGGACACTGGCTCCACCAAACTTCAGTCCTGACTGGACGTTCACCCAGTACTACCACCACAGGTGGAAAAAAAACACCTTTCACAGGCCAGGTTGGAAACTGAATTCCTGCCACAGGCCACAGGCCAGCCTTCTTGCCATCAGTATATTCCCTTCCTTTCTCTTTTGCATCTCTTAACCAGAATGTGCTCTAAACATTTCTTTCTTCATGTCACTCCTCTGCTCAAGAACCATCCATGGATCCCACTTGCCCATCAGAATTCAAGGAACTCCATGACCAAGCTCCAGCCTCCCTCTCTGACTTCACCCATCATCCCTTCAGCAGGCTAGTCTCCCCTATGTTCTAGAAACCTCTTCCTCCTTTTCTCCTGTGGGGCTTTGCCTATACCAATGCCCTCTGCCTGAGATACCCTTGTCCCTTCATTCTCTTCTTTAAGTCGTGGCTTGCAACCCCCACCTTCTCTGGGTCACCTTCCAACTATTCCAGTTCTTAATAACCCATTTAAAAACAAAAGACTAAGTCCTTGTGTACTCTAGACTCATCTGGCTTGTTTATTCAAAATTCAGACCATCCCAGATCTCTCTGGAGGTGGTTCAAGGACACTGGACTTTTAAAACTTCCCAGGGAAGTCTGATGCTGCAAGCCCAGGCTGGTCCATTGACCTACACTGGGGAAGTGCTGGTGATCCAGTGCTTGGCTAGCAACCCCAAGTCCACACAGGCTGCTGATGCCCACGGCTCATACACATTCCCGTCATCTCTGCAAGCAGTGACGATAATGATAACCACCATTTACTGAAGGCTCACCAGGCACTAGACACATGCTGAGCACTCGGCATGCACCATCTCACCTAATCTTCACTATGTGCTGTTAGGTAGATATTATTAACCTCATTTTACTGATAAGGAAACTGAGGACCAGAAAGGGTAAGTCTCTTGGCCAAAATCACAGAACTTGGCAGAGGGAGACCTAGTCTCAAACTCAGGCTGATTACGCCCAAGCCAGTGCTCCTCATCCCTGGGCCAGCAAGCCTTCAGAGTGGGCCCCTGGTTCAGTTCAGTTTGGGTAAATTCCATTCTGTTGCAACAACTCTCCTGCCCCTTGCTTTTGCTAAGTCATGGGGTTAGAAATATAGCTAGGAAGAGGCCCCTGTCCTCGAAGGACCTCCCAGTCCAGGTGGGGAAACTGGCACACACTTAGCTAGTCACATAAGGAGTGCTGAGACCAGAGCGGGGCGCCCCATTTGGGAAGGATGCCAAGGAGAAGCTGGGGTGGAGATGGGTACTGTCCTGGAAGGGGACAGAGGGCCAGTTCAGGCCTCGGGAGTAGGTGGAATTTGAGCCAGTTCTTGAGAGATGATAGAGAAGGGGCGGAGGGCATCAGGCAGAGGCGAGAGCCTACGCACGCACAGACAGCACGTGTGAAGGGTCAGGTTTCCAGTGGCTGTTGCCCTGGGGAGTGGTGAACAACTCGGCCGTTAAGGGCAGGTGGGGCAGGTCACAAAGAGCCAGGCGGAAGATTCTGCCCTTATGCCTTGGGCAATAGGGAGTCACGGACGGTGTGGGAGCAGGGCCATGTCTGCCCTCAGCTCTAGCGCAGGGAAAGGCACAGGTAGGTAGGTGCTCAATGGAACCTTGCTGCCTCATGTATTGCTATGTGTCTTTCTCTCATCCTCAGTAGGTTGGAATGACCTGGAGCTACTGGATAATTCCTGCCAGGAATGGAAGGCTTTCATAGCTATACTTCCTCTCTCCATTTAGCCCTTCTCTGGGAGGATGGGCACATTCCTCAACTTCTCTGAGCCCGTTTCCTCATCTGTTAAATGGAGACAACACACCAACCTTGCAGGTTTTGAGACTGAAATGAGATCAGGCGAGCAGAGCTTAGCAGGTATGCTACATGCGTGGCAAAGAGCATAGGATCACGAAGAGCATAGGCTCAGGGTCTTCCGTGTGAATCCTAGCTCTGCCCCAGGGGATGCCAGTCTCTCAGGGCTGGAGGGAGAATTCAGTTCAGAGAGCTAACATACATACAGCACCTGACACTTGCGGATGCTCAGTAGCGTTGTTTGCTGCCTGGTCTGGCCGACACAAGCCATCCTGTTCCTCCTCCTCGCTCCTGGAACACCTCCACTCTCGCTCAACGCGCTGCTCCTTCCTCCCACTCCTGCTCCTGCAGGAGGTACCTTGCAGTAGGAGCCTTAGCTCCCTGCCGCTCGCCGTCAGCTTACTTGCCCCTCACCACCTGGCACACCATACATGTCTGTGTCCTTTGCAAAGAGCTTTCACATGCATCATCTTACTGGGAATCCGCTCACCTACTGCCACTTTGAAAGCAGGACAGAGTTGATCCGCTTTGTGCAGAGAGGAAAGGACGGACATGTTGACGCTGTTTGAGCACCTGCTAAGTGCCAGGAGCGTAATATTCATTAATGCTCCTCCCAAACATCCTCCCCATTGCACAAATGTGGACACTGAGGCTCGGAGAGGGGCAGTGACTTGTCCAAAGTCACACAGCAAGGAACTGACAGAGGCTGAGTGCAAGCCCAGGTCTTTCTGACTCCAGAGTCCAGGATTTGGAACAAACACGTACAGCATGGGGTTAACAGATCTGTCCCCAGGGCTGCCGTGAGGACAAGTTGGGGTAATAGGCATGAGGGCAACTGAAACGCTTAAGGACTGGGAATAGAAGTGAAATCATGTCCGCCTCCCCCTAATTACATGGCGAACAGGGACAGAAGCCCGGGGAGGCTGCAATGTGCCCAAGGTCAGGGCAAGCCCAAGCTCACTGCCCCCGGGGACCACTGTCTTTCTTAGTTAAGGGCAGGGACTATGCCTCCAGGGCCTTTTCCTCCCCAGAGAGTGGAAACTTCCAAAGTCCCCCTGACCTGACCGGAGGGTGAAAAAAGCAGGAATTTCTGCCATGGTACATGGATCTGGAGCCTGGGGCTGAGGGCTGACATCCCAGGCTTGCCGTGGCCTCAGGCCCGTTCAGCGCCATCCCCAGCCCTGGACCTGCAGGAAGACCTGGCCCTCCTCCCAGCTCATCAGCCAATGAGAGGGGCCATCCCAGAGACCCCTTGCTCTTAGAGGAGACTGAGAGTTGTCAAGGCCAAGGGAACAGAGCACGGTGGTGGGATTTCAGGTGTAACAAACCGGCGAGGCAGATCGTGGAGTTTGGGGAGGTCAGAGCGGAAAGGAATGAGAGCCCCTCTGCCCCCTTGTTCTTCAAACTTTTAAAAAGCGGCAGACCCTTCCTTTCAAACGAACCCCGAGGCATGATCTCCTCCCCACCCCCACGTCCCCCACAGTCACTAGCAAGCCCCGGGGGGCCCCTCCCCAAGCAGCAAGCCCTGAGGAAGAACAGCAGCTCGGCAGCCAGGGGCCAGCCCAGCCCTCGCAGCTCGGCCTCGGTGTCCTGTTGACCATGAATAATTCCACGCAACATCAGCATCAGGCAAGGCCACGCTGTGACCACATTGGCAAATCACGACCCCCCAGGAGCCACAGCTGAGTGCAGGCAAACATGAACACCGTGCGAGCCCGTGCGATGCCCACGCCGCCTTCTCCTGGCTGGGCTGTGCTTGCTGCCCCTTTGCCAACGACAGCTTCAGCTTGGGCCCAGCCTTCCCTCCTTCTAGATCACATTGACTAATCACTTCAGCTTGGGCCCGGCTTCCCGACAGTATCCCGCATGGAGCAGAGCCCTGCTTCCCCAGACCCTCCCTCACATCCCCTAACTCTCAGGAAGCCCTTTCTCACGCCCTCTGAGACACAGTTCCCATGGGGTCCATCCCCCTCGCTGCCATGAGTAATAAACCCAACTATTAACTAGGGGTGAGCTCCCGGTGGCCCTCTCCTGCAGGGCATTGGCAGACGGGTTCTGTCAAATACCCCCACCGCCTAACTCTGCTGAAGTCGAAGGCAGGGGGTCATCACCTCCTTTTTGCCCCAGAGGCAACCAGACTTGCCCAAGTTCACAGTGTAGGGTGAATATATCATTTATCATCCAAGTGGGATGACTTTGATAGTGAAAGGGTGCACTAATGGTCAGTGAGCAAGGACAGAGGGCATAAACCAGGACTGTCCAGGGCAGACCAGGCATACGGGCTCCCCATCATGCTGCAGGATGTGGGGGGAGCCAGGACTGGCAAAGCCTGAATCTTGCCATCTCTCTCTGCTGCCCCGAGCGCTCCCACCGCTGCCCCGTGCCACTCCCTAGGACAGGGTGAGTCTCTCTGCTGGCGGGCTGGCAGCCCGGGGCTCTGGGTTCTCTGGTGAGGTCTGGGGAATGCGCTGCAGTTGTGATTCAGGGGTGCGGGGCCACCCCTGAGCTTCTGTACCACACAGCTGTCCCGCGGGGTCATGCCCCGTGCTTGGCATTCGCTTTCCAGAGAGTGCCCACAGTGCCTGCCAGGCACGATGCCCTATTTAGCCTGCCCAGGGGGGGAACGGGTGGTTTCACATAAAAGAATTTGCAGGTGAAAGTGACCCCTTTAAACACTGAAGACTTTATTTTAGCTGTTTGCCCAGATGGCCCTTCTGATGCAGGTCACCTGCTCCCCTGCCTTAGTAAGCAGGGTGCAGGAACACGGGGCACCTTGCCGTGTCTGCTGTCTCGTGGCCATTAGCGGGACCATGTTACAGCAGAGGGCATGCACCCAGGGGCACCCCTCACTATAGAGGCTTTCCTACTGGGAGGAAGTAATGACCCAGAATAAAAGAGGAGTGTGTTTCCAGGGGTGTGCACTTCATTTTTTTTTTTATTATTCTTTTAAGATTTTACTTGTTTATTTTATTGGTGGGGGGGGAGGGCAGAGAGAGTCTTGAGCAGACTCTGTGCTGAGTGTGGAGCCTGATGCGGGGCTTGGTCTCACGACCCTGAGGCCAGGGCCTGAGCCGGAACCAAGCACTGGAGGCTTAACCAACGGTGCCACCCAGGCAGCCCAGGGGCGTGCACTTCTGACTGAGCACAGGGGGCAGCCCTGCCCTCGGCTGAGATCCCCACCCCACACCCAGAGGCCTGGCCTCGATGAAGGCTTCCTCCTCCCAGTGGGCCCGGGTGCAAGTGCTGTGTGCGCGGACCTGGTGGGAGGTCTGCTGCCGTCCCTTTCTCCGAAGCCCCTGCCGTCTATGCTGGGCTGTGCCAGCACTTTGCGCAGATCAGCCTGATGCAAGCATGACACCGTGGAGCTGCAGCGCAGTGCTATCTTCAGGGCCTGCTCAGGCAGCCTGAGCCATCTGTCCCTGCATTCGATGGGCCAGGTGGTTGTGTGGTTGTCACTCGGCCGTCTCTGGACTCTACTGTCCATTTCTAACTGCTCTGCTCCCTAACTTACAAGGCACCAAGCTCAGTAGATGGTAAGCTCTTGGAGGGCAAGAACCTTATCAGTTCATGTCTCTCTCCCCCTAAAAGTCCCGGCTTAGTATGCAGCACAGAGTAGATGCTCAGTAAACACCACCCGAATCAAACTGAATCAAGCTAGGAGGCTTCATTTCAGCCCCCATCCTCAGCCAATGCAGATGTGTTCTGCAGGGAAGGGGGCCTCTCTGCGGGCTTTCTGCCTGCCTTTGTGACTCCGATGCATGCCCTTCGGAGGTTTGACTGCCTGAGGGTAAAGGGCCTGCGAGTCTAAGAGTTAGGGGTGGGGGCATCATCTGCAAAAGGCTCTGGTCAGTTTTGTCAGCCTTCGGTGACCACTGATCTGAGCAAGGAGGTACCGAGGTGAGCAGAGCAGAGGTCTAGCCTTGAGCAGGTGGTCACGCGCCAGCAATCAATGTACAAGGCCCGAAGGTGGCATAGAGGAGCCAGAAGGAACTCGTGGTGACATCAGGCAAAGCTTTCAGAGGAGGGGCATCTGTGCCGGGGTTTGAAGGATGAGCGTGAATTTGCCAGACAGACAAGCAAAGGGCATGCTGCTGGAGGGGACAGCCTGGGACGGGCTTAGGGAGCGGGAGAGCAGGGGTTGTGGCACGGGGCTGACCAGGGAGAAAGTCGGGAGGGCCACAGAGGTGAGGCATGGAAGGTTTTGGATCTGGGGTGATGGGAGCCACAGGAGGGATGTGGGCAGGATGGACATGATTAGCTCTGAGTGAAGACGGATCCCACCATCCACCTGGGTGTGGGGCAGGGGAGAGGACATCGGGGGGGGGTGGCGACAAGACTCCATAGGAACGGGAACCCTGAGAGACCTTCACAGAGGATCAGGGCCTTGGGGATAGCACCAAGGAGGGTCTTGTTCAGAGGCCTGCTTTGTGGGAAGGCGGAAAAGGCTCTCGAGGGCCCCAGCAGCTGCATTTCTTCTCAGTGAATCATATTTTACCTTCAACGCTTCCCCAAAGAAAGTGAACAGTGGAAGAGCCCGGACAGCAAGCACCCCATCCCCATGCACCACTTTGAGCACTTCAAGTGCTCTCAGGCCCGCTGTCTCGCATGAACCTCCACATAACCCCATTTCGCAGACAGGAACACTGAGGCCCTGTGAGGTCACATGGGGGTTAGCAGTGGTGCGGGGCTAGAATCCAGGGAGCAGATGCATCTCAGGCCTGGGCATCGGGCACAAAGCCCAGTTCCTCGTCCGGGAGGGGGTCCCCAGGGCTGTCCGGCAGCCCATAGTACAAGTCTTCCTCTTCCCGCTCTGACTGCTCTGAACCTGGGTCTGAAGCCTTCTCTTCCTCCTCTTTTGTCCCCCGGGATGGCTGCCAGCAGCTGGACAGGGCAGTGTCCCGCCGCTGGCCCCCTGAAGACGCATCCTCTGCCATGGGGGCGTCGATCAGGGCAAAGTCATGGAAGCGGTCCAGCCAGCACTTGCAGGCCCAGAGCTCCCGAGGCGGGCAGTGAGGCTCCTCCCCCTCTGGTGGAGAGGGGTTGGGGCTGCTGCCCTCATCGGAGGCCACGTCCAGGTCATCTTGGAAGGAAGCCAAGGGTGCAGGTCCCTGGGGACAGGCCTGGAGGCTGCAGGAACAAAGGCCCAGAGAGCCAGAGTTGCTCTGAGTCAGACTGCCCAGGTCCAAATTTCAGCCACCAGCTGCAAAGCCCAGGGGAGGTGAGTTCACCTGTCTGGGCCTCAGTTTCCTCCCCTACAAAGTGGGGGAACATAATCATACTCACTCCTATGGTTGTCTCCGAGGATTACAGCACATAGCGTGTGCCAAGCCCTTTGCACAATGCCTGGCACACAGTAGGTGCTTAAGCAATGGGCATTATGTTATGATCCAAACCAGGTTCTTCCCCTGCCTCTCTGGCCACTCAGGGGTCTCCTGTGGGCCCTCAGCCCCCACCACACAAGGTGTCACCTTCTGCTCCCTCGTCCACCTCCTCCATCGGACTGGGAGCTCCTGCAGGGTGGGGGCCATTGAGGTCTGGCAGGGAGTAGGTGCCCAGCTATGTTGGTGGGATGAGTGAATAAATGGATGAAAGAGAAACCTAGTTCGTAACCAGCCAGGGACAGGGTGGGCGCGAGTGACCTGCCCGACGTCACAGAGCACATCAGCGACAGAGTCCAGATTTGAACTCACTGTCCCAGTTCTCAAAACAGCCCTCTGAGGCAGGAGTGATTGTTCGCACATGGGGAAACTGAGGCTCAGGAGGATAAGAAACTTGCCAAGGCTACACAGCAGAGGAGCTGGGATTCGAACCCAGGCCTGGCCGACTAAGCCAGACTCATGCGTCTGCTCTACCTGCTGCCTGTCAGGGCGTCCCCACCCCCGTGCCCTCACTACTCCCAAATGTCCCCAGCTGGCCCTGAGTGGCCCACAGCCCCACCTGCTTCATGCAGGAACTGGACAGCACGCCCACCCCTGCACTCTGAGCACTCACCCAGGCCTGCTCGGAGTCAGGTTGCTTTCTCCCTCGTCCTCATCTGAGGCCCTGTGGATAACCACTGCAGCCTCCATCCAGCCCTGAGCATCTTGGGGGCCACCTTCTCCTCCATCACTGGCTCCCAGCTGCAACTGTCCCAGCTGGGGGGCCAGCAGCGGGCGAGGGTCCTCACGGTAGCCCATGACCTTCATCTGGATGTGGCTGAAGTTGGGCAGGCTCTGGTCATAGGCGGCTTCCTCCCACAGCCTGACATATGGGGGCTGCGGGCTGGGCAGGGCACGGCAGAGAGCAGAGAAAAACAGGCAGGTGAGACCACCCAGCAGACATCGCAGGAGGAGACATTGGTGTTGTCCCCCCACCCCCTGCCCTCCACCCTCCTGCTCTGGACATCTGGTCTCCCCTGACCTCAAGACTTTGGGGGATGTAACTGTACCCAGTTCATGGATGGGGAAACTGAGGCCCAACAAAGAGTGGCAGAGCTTAGACTCTTAGACCAGTCACTGCTCCTCTCACTCCACGTCTCCAAAGTTAACCCCAGGAGTCCACTTGTGAAATGCAGGCCAGTTCGCATTGCCTGAGAGCGTGCTGTGTTACAGACGGTGAGCTAAAAGCCCACGCCTACCATCGCATTCATTCTGCACCATGAAGCAGAGTGGTCGTGCCCGGGGTTCGGATGAGGACACAGCAGCAACATCCCAGTTATTGAGTGCTCCTTGCCTGCTAGGCTGCGTCAGGCGCCACATCGGATCCGCACCATAACTGGGAGACTTCGGCTGGCTTGCCCTGAGTGCCTCAAACACCAGGTGGCAGTGCTGGGCTCCAGCCCTCCCCTTCTCTATGCTCTCTATAGCCTCTCTGGGAAGTGAGGTGCAGGGACTGGACCCCTTGCCCAAGATCACACAGAAGGAGCCCGGAGCTCAGCTCCGTGCAGTCCTATGCCCACCCAGGGGCTAGCCACCTCATTCCCCCGGGGACATGTGGTCACTCTGTGTGCCAGGAACAGAAAATATCATCACTGCCTCCTTCCCCAAGCAAAGTAGAGAATTCCAGAGCCCTGGCCACAGACCCTGGACCTGCAGCCCGGCCTTCTGAGCAGTCACAGCCTCCAGGGGTGGCGAGGGCAGCCGGTCCCACTCCCATCCAGGGCTGGAGTGCTCGCTCCTGTGTCCTGATGAGCCAGGCCTGGTACCTCCAGGGAGGCAGGTCTGGTCTGGTCCGTCACTGACTCCCTGTGAGGTTTGAGGCCCGTGATTACACTTCTTTTTTTGTTGGTTTGCTTGTTTGTTTTAGAGAGGGAGAAAGAGAGAGATGGGGAGGGGCAGAGGGAGAGGGAGAGAGAGAGAGAGAGAAAATCCCAAGCAGGCTCCAAGCCCAGCATGGAGCTGGATGTGGGGCTAGATCTCATGACTCTGAGATTGTGACCTGAGCCAAAATCAAGAGTCAGACACTTAACTGACTGAGCCACCCAGGTGCCCTGAGATTATATTTCTTGAGCCTCAGTTTCCTCCTTGGTGTAAAGGGCCCGACACCCCCATTTCACAGGGCTCCTATGAGGACTGAAGGAAGTAATGAGGCAAACTGCCTGCTTGGATCTCAGGCTGATAGGAAGCACGTCTTACTAACGGTGACACTGTTCTTAGTGCTTTGCTTATATTAACTCCCTCAGCCCTGCCGAAGCCCTAGGAGAAAGGTGTGATCAGTGCCCCTATTTTATAGGTGGGGCAAAGAGAGGTGAGTTGTATTCCCCGAATCCCACAGCCTGTAAGTGGAGAGCCGCAGGGCTGTGCTTGGCCATCGACATGCCCCCCTGTTTGCCAAAGGAGCCGTCACAGCTGTTTGGGATCTGGGGCCACACCTGGTTTTGCTTTCGGTCGGCCACGAACTCGCTCTAAGACAGGACAAAGTCCCTGAGCCTCAGTTCCCTCATCTTTAAAATGGGGATAATAATGCCTACCTCGTAGAATTGAGAGTTCAAAACAATCCTGATTTCCAATAGCATGCTCTCAGTAAGTGAGGAGGCAAGGCAGAGAGCTGGAGCCAGCGGAGGAGACCCCCCCCGCCCACCCATCCCACCCGACTCCATCACCCTCCGCTGGAAGAGGAGACTGGCCTGAGGGGCTCTCCCTGCTCCACCCCCGCCCTGGAGAGCCTGGCCCTACCTCTTCATCTCAGCAGCAAGCCCATTCTCCAGCAGGCCCAGTGCCTTTGGGGCCAGGATGCCTTGGAAGTCAGAGTCAGCAGGTATGAAGGTGATCTACAGGGCAAAGGAAAGAAGGCTTCTTTGTGTGGCTCCCACCCATCCTGACCCGGAGGGCCTCCCTGTGTGACAGCAGAGGGGTCTGCTCAGGGCCCAGCACCAGTGGGTGGATGCACCTCTGGGCTCTTGCTCCCACCTGGCTCTTCATTCACCCAAAAGACATTTATTGAGCACCAGCTGTGTGCCAGGCAGTCTCCCAGGCACCAGAGGGCAGCAATGAGCAAACAAAACAAACATCCCTGCCCCTGAGGAGGTGGTATCTTGTCATTTCCCAGGGTCCTGGTCCAGTGCCCAGAATGTGCCTGGCACAGAGTAAGGGCTTCATCCATATCTGGTGAGTGAGTGTCATGTATTTCTTGGCACAGAGGCTGTGGTGGGGGACAGGGAGGTGAACGGCTGAAATTGCACCCACCAGTCCCTGTACTGGAACTTTCAGGGATCAGGGGGTCTCTGCAAGTGCAGCACATGGGGCGGAGACCGGTGGCAGAGGGGAGGCAGGTCATAAAGGAGGCCGTGGGATGAGACAGAAGGAGCCCTGCCCTTGGGGTCCGGGAGACTAGGGAAGATTCCTTCCTTGGGCAGGTCATCTCTCCTCTCGGAGCCTCTATGTGCCTCTCTGTAAAAAGGGCTAGCCTCAAAGAGATATTTGCGGCATTGTTCATAACAGCCAAAAAGTGGAAACAACCCAAGTGTCCAACAACAGCTGAATAGATAAACAAAATGTGGTATATACATGCAATGGACCATTATTTGGCCTTAGAAAGGAGGGCAGCTCTGACACATGCCACGACATGAATGAGCCTTGAAGAAATAAGCTAATAACAAAAAGACAAATTCTGTAGGAGTCCACTTACATGAGGTACCCACAATAGTCAAATTCATACAGAGAGTAGAACGGTGGTTGCCACAGACTGGAGGGAGGGGGTGGGGAGTTATTCTTTAATGGGTATACAGTTTCAGCTTGGCAAGATGGAAAGACTTCTGGAGATCGGTTGTGCAACAGGGTGCATTTAATTAACACTCCTGAACTGTAGGGGCACCGCGCTGGCTCAGCTGGTGGAGCATGTGACTCCTGATCTGGGAGTTGTGGGTTTGAGCCTCACATCAGGTGTAGAGGTTACTAAAAAATAATATATATATATATATTTTAAAAAACACTACTGAACTGTACATTTAAAAATGGTAAGACAGTAAATTTTATGTTTTGGGTATTTTACCACAATTTTTTTAAATGATGCCGGCGATACCTGTCTCCTGGGGTCGTTGTGAGGATCCCACGAGATACTGTATAAGGAAGCCCCCAGCACAATGCTGGGCACATAGTAGCTACTCAGTAAACCATAGTTCGATGTTACTGAAGATGAAGTTATCTGGCCTGAGTCTTGCTCTCCTCAACTGAAAATTTGTTCAACAAATACTTGACAAGACCCCACTGTGTTATACCAGAGTCAAAAATAGCAGCCCCTTTTATCTCTTCCTACAGAGCATGATGAGTAAAAGACACTTGTCTGCACCAGAAAAGCTCCATCCTGCTGGGAGGAAGGGAATGATGGATGGAGGGGCTCTTAGAACTCCTATGAAGAGTAAGCTTCTCTGAAATGTCTAGAAATAAGGCAGGGATCTTGGTATCTTCCACACCCACCACGGATACCCTGCACTTGCCAGCTGGCTCTATACTTCTTAGAAGCTGCTCCTTCCGCTGCCTCATTACCTCATGGCCCAGTCATCACCTTCTCCCCTTTCTCCTCCTCCTCACCATCATCACCATTATCACTATGCCCACGACCACCACCACCACCACCATCACTGTTATCACCATGACTACAACCATCACCACCACCACCGCCACCATCATCTCCATCAACATTATCATCATATCATCATCACCATCATCACCACCACTACCATCACCATTATCACCATGACTACAACCGTCACCATCACCACCACCACCGCCACCATCATCTCCATCAACATTATCATCATATCATCATCATCACCATCATCACCACCACTACCACCACCGTTATCACCATTACTACGACCATCACCATCACCACCACCACCATCATCGGCTCCATCAACATTACTACAACCGTCACCATCACCACCACCACCGCCACCATCATCTCCATCAACATTATCATCATATCATCATCATTACCATCATCACCACCACTACCAGTATCTTCACTTCCATCATCATCATCATATCATCACCATCACCATCCCCATCATCATCTCCATCAACATCATTATGTCATCATCACCATCACCACCATCACCATCACCATCACCAGCATCACCATCACCACCATCACCACTATCATCATCGCTATCACCATCATCATCACCAAATACATCATCAGCATTATCACCACAGTGAAAAGCCTGAGGGAGAAGGAAAGGCTGGAGCATGTTAGAACACAAGTCCTTTTAAGAGAGGGGGACAGAGTTGAAACTGGTGAGGGGATACCAGACTATGAAGACTCCGAACATCAGACTAAGGAGTTCAGTCTTTATCCAGAAGCAGTGGGAGCCCTGGAGGAGTTCTCAGGAGGAGAGTACCCAGACAAATTTGTGTTTAGTCAGAGCTCCAAGCAGTCCCCAAAGGGAGGGAGCAGAGGGAGTGAGGGATACCCATGGAGAAGACAGATCCATCAACCGTCAATCAGGGGCCTGGTACTGGATTCCAGTGGAGTAGGCAGGAGAGGGGACTAGAGGAATTGTGGGTAGAAACAGAAGCCAGACGGGGAGAGGCCCTGTTTTCTCTGCCAACCCTTGCCTTCTCCCAGCAACCTTGCCCCATCTCAGCCAATGGGCACAGCATCCCTGCCTGGCCCATCTTCTGGCTTTGCCCCAATTCCTCCTCCTCTCTCATGCCTGAGGTCCAGCTGATCACCACATCTGACCAAGTCTACTTCAGAAATTCAATGAGATAAGTTCAGCAGAAGCTCAGTCCTATATCTAGCCACAGCAGGGACTGAACATATGATGAATGAGCAATGTCTTCTTGGTTCCTGTAGCCTTGGGTTCAAATGCTGCCTCGGTCCAGGGGCCCATCATCTCTCACCTGGCCCCGTGAAGGAGCCTCCTCCTCTGGCCTGGTTGCCCCTGAACCTTCCTCTTCTCAGATGTCAGCCTGATAACTTTCCTGAACTGCAAAGCTAATCATGTCCCTCTCTTGTCTCATCAACTGAAGGTTAAGGTCCATATTCTTTAGCACAGCATCCCAGGCCCTGCGGAGCTGAGCCCACTCTGTCTCCACCTTCCTTCCAGCCCACACGTGCAGCAGCCGTGTTGACCCACTCTCCTTGCTTTTACCTCCTTCTTTTGATCGTGCTGTTCCTTCTTCTTAGAAAGTCTTTCCCCATCTTCTTTGCTTGGCAAACTTCTACTTAGCCTACAAAGGCCAGCTCATCTTCTCCGCAAAGCCTACTCCCTCCCCATCAGGCAGAACATTGTCTCCCCAACAAGATTCCCAGCTCCTCAAAGACAGGGACAGCTCAATTCATGTTATTCTTATATCTTAATTGGCTGATTCCATTCCCTTATAGTTATATTTCTTTCAATCCAGAAAATTCCCATTTAGTGGGCCTTGTAGGGGGGAGGATGGGCACCAGCACCTGCTGAGGGCTCCAATGGGCCAGGCACTGAGACGATGTGGGAGACAAGGCCCCTTGCTCCAGCACACGGCACGGGCCCACAACATGCTTTCCTTCCTTGCTTGCGTCTCTGAGACACACACCCACACAGACCCACACCAGTGCTCACACCCCTGCACACACATACGGAGACCTGCCCAACGCCACAAACACCAGCCCTGAGGACAACGTGTGACACCGGCCCCCCACAGATGAGACCCCACAGGTTCCCCACACTGGGCCGTGCAAGGCTCTGCCAAGGTCACCGAAGAGGGGCAGAGGGAGGAGGAATTTAAAGCTGGGCCTGGGACACGAAATCCCGGGCTGTTTCTCCCCTGCCTTGCTGCCTCCCCAGCACCTGAACACGTGAATCTATCAACAGTTACTCATTAATACCCAGTAGGATTCCCTCTCCCTCTCTCCCTCACCCGCCACTGCCACCGGGTCCCTCTGCATCCCCCCGCCCCCTCCAGAGCCACCTCCGGTAAAGGGGGAGAGGACAGGAAGGACACGGCCCTCCAAACCCCTGCTGTCCCCTTGCTGGGCCCCAGGATCCCATCTCCTCACTGGGAGGATGACAACAGAGGTGGTAACATGGGTGGCTTGTGCCCCAGGGACCTCTTCTCGCCGTGACCTGTGCTCAGGGCATTGCACAGACAGAGGCTAGTTGACTGTAAACTGCTTGGGAAATGGCTACAAACCAGTCCAGACTGCCCCAGCACCGAACGCCCTGACAGCCCACGGCTGGCCCATGGAGGGGGCAGGGCTGGGGAGAGCCGGGCCCAGGCCCCCAGGAGCTTCGTCCCTCCTCTCGGAACCCCTGAACCCAGCCACCCAGGTGGGAGGTAGGAGGGGGCTGCAGGTCGTGGGCTGCCTGGGGTCTGGAGCCCTACATCCCTACACATCAGGACCCACGGGGCAGGCCCTTCAATGCACCCCCTCTCCCACCCCTCTTCCTGACACACACTTCGTACAAATGAGGAAACAGGCTCAGAGAGGGAAGGCACTTGACCAAAGTCTTCCGGGCAGTTAGAGACAGAACCCAAGTTCTCTCCTTGTCTCCCTGGGTCTATCTTACCAGCTGTGTGACCTTGGAAAAGTCGCTCATCCTCTCTGGGCCCTGAAGGATTACAACGCCTGACATGGTCCAGGCATTGTTGGGAGGACTGGTAACAGTGAGACTGGAAGCCCTTCTCCTAAATACAACACCCTACCGTTTATAAACATATCTTCTCTGATCTTCATAGTAACTCTGGGAGGCTGGGAGAAATAGGAGCTTGGGGCCCATTTCACAGATGAAAGAAACCAAGGTTCAGAAAGACAAAGGTCACACAGAGTTTGAGACAGAGCTGGAACTAGAACTCAGGCTCCCAAACCAGTGCTCTTCTCATGACTAAGTCACTCAGAAGGCTAGGAATACATTAAAGGGAAGAAGAGAGCGCTGCCCCACCCATGCGGGCAAGGTTATGGCGGACCCTCCCCGGAACTCTCGGCAGCTCTGGGACACAGGGAAAGCCCTCCGAGGAAGAGGCTTGTATTTTAAGTCACATGCAGCTGAGCTGCGACCCCAACTCTGACACTTAGGAGCTGTGGGGCCTCACCTTTCTGAGCCTGGTGTTTCTCGACTGTGAAATGAACTACAGACGGTACCAGAAAGTTCTGGGTGAGGATGAACTACATACTCTGTGAAAGCAGAAGTGCCTGGCAGGCAGCAAACACTCCTTAGCTGTGGTTTCGAGCACATGATTGTGTGTCGGGTTTCGCTGCGTCTCCCTCATGGTTCAGGGCTCCAGACCCAGGGGACTTCGGATCAGTCCTTATGACTACGGAGAGATGGATGGGGGGACAGAGGGAGGGAGGCCTGGAGGGATGGACAAAGGGACAGAGGGAGGGAGGGATGAGGGGAAGGAGAGAGGGAGGGAGGGAGGGAGGTCTGGAGGGAGGGAGGGAGGGATGGAGGGAGGGAGGGATGGAGGGAGAGAGGGGTGGAGGGAAGGAGGGAGGGATGCTCAGGAGGGAAAAGGGAAGAAAAGAGAGTAGAAGAGGGGAGGACGGCAAGACCAGTGAAAGATGGGGGATTATCCCCAGAACAGGACCCTCCTGGGCCCGGGCCTGCAGCCCACCCGACGCCGCCACCACCTACCTTGGGGTAGCATTGGCACATGCTCCAGATGACGCCCCCGATCACCATGACGCAGCCCATGGCGTAGAAGGTGCCGTAGACCTGGGGCCGGTCGTGGCTCATGAGGAACGTGCCGAGGGCTAGCAGGAAGAGCCCCAGCACAATGAAGCCGATGCGGAAGGTCTTCTCGTCGGCCATGGCCGCCTGGCCGGGCCCGGGGCTGAGCGGGGCTGGTGAACCCGTGTGGATGCCTGTACACGCTCGCACAGAGAAGGATGAGGCTCGGGGATCGCTGCGGATTGGGGCTTCCAGCTGAAGGCAGGGCGGCTCCCTCCAGGGCCAGTGGCAGTCGGGGGCACCATTCACCAGGCTGGAGGAGCTACGCTTCGGTGGCCCTGTGCCACCCCCCCCCCCACCCTCTCTCCCTCTCACCTTCCCTCTGGGCCCAGCCAGAGCGTGTGTGTGTGTGTGTGTGTGTGTGTGTGTGTGTGTGTGTGTGAATCTGAATGAGGGAAAACATGAGGGAGGGAGAGGGGGAGGTTTCAGGGGCTGGGCCCCAGCCAAGGCTTTGACATCACCTCATTTGCCTGCGTGGGGCCGAGCTGGGTTGGCCAGGTGGCCCCGTGCCGTCCGGCCAGGGACGCAGGGTACAGTGCCACAGCCAAAAGACATTAGAATGCCACTGGAAGGTTCCAGGATCCCATGGGCCAGCATTTGAGGATCCTGAAGCACTCTGGACTCTTCGAGGTCATGGGCGCATCTGGGGTTGAGGAGTGAGAGCTCCTGTTTAGTGGACGGTGGCTGCAGGCAGGACACGGTTGTCCACGTGGTACAGGTATTAATGAAGGGAAACCCGTGAGGCAACTACTACTATCTCCACTTTACAGAGGAGGATGGGGCGGGGGTAAAGTGCCCAAGGTCATACAGGTGGACATGGCAGAGCCCCTGGAAGTGGAACCCGGAGGCCGTGCACCAGCCACCATGTGATACTGTCTCACTGTGGGCCAAGGTTCAAAGTGCGGGCCCCGGTGGCCAGGCCGTGGGTTCTGGCTCCTCTGCCGAGGGCAGCATACTCTTGATGAAATTCCCTCTCTGTGCCTCGGTTTTCCTCCCCTATACAATGGGGATAATAACCGCACCTCCCAGGACCAGAGCTGTCTCCAGGCCTGGCCTCCCTGTGTTCCTCTTTCCGTTCTCATACTCTGTGCTCCCCCAGACCTGCTCCCAATGAGCTGCCCCCTAGAAAGTCTGTGTGTGTTGATGCCCCTGTGGGGTGTGAATGACTGACAGGGAGTCCTCAGCCTCCTAACCTCAGAAGATGTCTTCACCCTAAGAATGGCATTCTAAGGTTGGAGTTTCAGTCCTGAGGACGGGCTGATGGGGAAAATCAGATTCCTTTACAGGATTATAGGAAAATGAAGGCCATGGGGATCTCTAAAGGAAGATGGTAACTTTATAGTTTTTACAGGGTTAAGTTGTCACCGTGTGATCTGGCGTCCAGACTTAGTAGGTTTGGGGGGGTTTCTGTTTGTCGTCACTACTTTCTCCCTCCTCCCCAACATGAGCTGTGCTTGTCTACACCTATGTTCACGCCCTCTGCCTGGTGTTCCTGCCCACAGACACTTTCTCCAGCGGCGGTTTCTCCTTCACCACCCGTCCGATTCAGCCGGGCTGCACTCTACAGTTTGCGGGGGAGGGGGCTGGGGTCCCCTGTAACAGCTCAGGAGACCCTCACAGTGAGAAGTTGCTAAGAGGTCAGGAAGGGCTGAGAGTCACCCGGTCACATCCAGGTTTGATTCCCCAGGTGAACTTGGGCTGGTGGCTCCACTCTGGGCTTGAGACTTGTCACCTGTGCCTTGAAAGTGGTATTAGGCCACCTCCTAGGTACTGTGCTGGGAAGTGACCTAATGGAGGAACAGGTGCCTTGTAATCTGATTATCAACATGGCTGGACCCTCCAGGGCAACACGATTATCATCATCTTATGGAGGCTTGGGGAAGGGAAGCGAGAGGCGCCCCGCCCAGAAAAGGAGACCGAGGCCCAGAGGGGCCTCAGCCCGCGCTGTGGGGTCCTGGCGCGGCGGTGGGGAGTGAGTGGATGTGCGCGGTCCCCGTCCAGCGGGAGCCTCTCGCGCCCCCTGGTGGCCGTCGTAGCACGCGCTCTGCAGGGCACTCGCAGGCCCGTTCAATCAGGCGTCTCTGCCCGTGTCCGCGCTTATCGTGCCCATTTCACAGGCGAAGAAACGGAGCCTGAGGAGTGGCAGGGACTGGCCGGTACCTCCCCAAACCGAGTCGGTGGCTAAACGAGGACCAAGACCCATGCAGCCCCAGCCCCGATGTAGATAGATTTGGTCCTTAGCCCTTCCAGAGGCCTCCCAGTCACCAGAGCATTTTCCTCCGCGCCCCACCTTTTATTTCCTCTGCACGAGCAAGCCTCGGTTCCTCCTTTTCTCTCCTCTTAAAAAAAGGGGAGTGACAGCGCGTAAGAAGCTCTGGGACAAGTAGGTGCTCCGTAGAATGGATCTAATGTAACCTCCTCCACAGAGCCGCGGTGACGGTTACAGGGGAACGTGTGTGTCCAGCTCTCCGTGCTCCCAGCGGCTCCCCTCCCGCCTGCCTGCGGCCTTTCCCTCCCAGCCAAGCGGGCGTCAGTGGGAGGAGCGGGTCAGGAGTCTCATCTTCCAGCAGAGGGCGCGCTAACCGCTCTTTTCTTCCTATCGGGTAGATTCAGGATCCTCGCAAAATCCTCAGAGGCAGGGAGGGGAAAGATCACACCCATTTGACAGATGCAGAAACTGAGCCTTGTGGAGGCAAGGTGAGCTACCCAAGGTCGCAAAACCTGTAAATAGCAGATCCAGGAATTCAAACCAGGTCCCCAATCAGTCTCTTGCTGAGCACCTACTACATGCCGGATACCCTGAAGTGCGAGGCACTCTGATAAATACAGGGTTTCAGAGAGTGATGGCACTTGGTCCCTCTTTCTGGGGAACAGTAAGGCTCTGAGATGTGGGTGAGGTCCAGCACATGCACAGAGCAGAGAGAGGGATAGACTGGGGGGGGGGGGGGAGATGGGAGGAATGAAGGGACAGATTCATAGAAGGGATCCTTGAGAGGTCATTTGGAGTTCTGTCAGGGCAGAAAAAAAACTCAGACAGTGATCAGCAAGTGCAAAGGCCCAAGGGTAAGTAATGGCTGGAGCTAAAACTCTAAATGCCATGCACACCCTCGCCCCTACACTGCCCTACCCTGCATACTCCTCCCCTACCTCCTCAGACCTGCCCCTCCCATGTCACCTCCATCCTTCCAGCATTATTCAGGCCATCACCTGGATATCCTGGCCAGCATCCTTACCTCCTCTTCACACCCATATCCTGTTGGCTCTACCTCTGAGCCTCTAATCCAATACTTCTCACCCTCAACTTCTGCCCATCCCTCTGGTCCCAGCCCCCATCATCTGTCTCCCTGAATGCTCTCTGCTTCTACCCTTGCCCCCTGAAGTCTTTCTTCAACCCAGATGCCAGGTCAGACCATGTCACTGCTCTGCTCAGAACCCTGGAAGGGCACCCAGAGACCTCAAAACAGCCTGCCAGGCCCTAGATAATTTGCCCTTGCCGCACACCCCATCACCTCCCCCCCCCAGCCCATCTCCTGCCCTGCCTCCTCTCACTCTACTCCAGCCCCCTGGCTCTGAGCTCTTCTCGGAACACAAGGCACCCCAAGGCCTATGCACCTGCTGTTCCTTCTGCTTGGAAAACTCTTCCTCCAGACATTTGCCTGCCCCCCTCCCTCTCCTCCTTCAAGCTTCTGTCCAAAGGTCATCTTCAGGTTGAGGCCTCCCTGCTGTGACGTCTAAAACTGCAGGACCCCCTCCCCCCCACCGGGGTTCCCTGTCCTCCTTTCCGACTGATTTTTCTCTGTAGTAGGCATCCCCATCTATCATGCTAGATACATTATTTATTTGTCTCTTGTCTGTCTCCCACTATTGCAGGCTGGGGACTTTGTTTTGTGCACTGTTCTAACCCCAGGGGCTAGAACGGGAAGGCTCTTAATTGATATTGGGGAATGGAAGGATGGATAGAAGTTCCAGAAGAGAGGGAAGCCAGAGAGAGCAGCACAGGCAAGCTTGATTGAAGCTACCGGCTCTGGCGTTATTCTCTGTGATTTTACCCCTCTGAGGCTCAGTTTCCTCGCCTGGTAAATGGGAACACCACCTGTAGCAGAGCATCATGACGGCGTGAAACAACGCAGAGGCCTGCCCGGGCGTACAGTCGGCCATCAGGGAATGCCACCCTTATCCAGCTGACTGAGCCCCAGGACTTTGAATCTCTGCTTGCTGTGTGACCCTGGGAAGGTTACTTCACCTCCCTAAGCTGATGTTCTCATCTGTGAATGGGGTGAGGTGGAAATGAGGGATGCAGAATGTAGCTGGGCAGAGAACAGACATTTCTGTCATATTGGAAAGTAAGGCTAGGTAATGAGCTCCCTGTCACAGGAGGTATGGGAGCAGAGGCCAAATTTGCCCTGGGTGGAGGGGGGTGACTAACAAAATCAGACATCGCTGAGTACTCACAGACACCTGCCATTGGGCGAAGATGGGCATTTATCATTTAAAGCATTAGGACGGCGCCCGCAGGGCCCATGTGAGCTCACACCACCAGCTGCTATCACCTCGGGCAGTCCTCACAACTCAGCTCCTCGGGTAAGGGCTGGGGCCTTTGTCACTCCCGATTCCCCTTTTACACCTGCGGAAGCCAAGGCAGAGAGGCAAAGTCCCTTGTTCAAGGTCACTCGACTGGTCCGGGGTGGACGCATGCCCAGGTGGTCTGAATTCAGAGCCCACATTCTTCCGATTCTACACTCAGTGTGCGACCTCGGGCCCGTCCTGCCCCTGCCCCTGGGCCCCCACCTTCTCATCTGGACAACAGAGTCCCCAGCTGACAGCCAGCACTAACGGCCAGCCGTCTGAGTGCACCGTCTTGGACATTCTGGCCCAGCCGGGCCCCTCAGGACTGCAGGCCCACCAGCGCGGGCTACGGAAGAGCCACCTGGCCGGGCCCAGGCAGCGCCTGGCGTCACGAGAGAGAATGAAATGCATTTATTTGAAGCTGTCTGTTACACAGCAATAGGTCAAGACGCGAGCATTCAGCAGCAAACATTTGTCGCATGCCCCCGTGTGCCAGGCCCTGCACTATACGGCCCACGCGCACCACCTGTCTCCAGCTCTGGGGTCTGCCGGGAGCCTTGAGCTTCGCCCCCCTGCAGTCCGAGCCGGGCCTGTCTCTCCGGAGATGCCACGCTCGGCACCAACGACGCTCTCGTAGCTGGGCGGCGGCAGGGGGCGCTGGGTCCCGAGCAGGGCATCCCCAGAGGCACTGTCCTTCAGGCCTTCCTCCAGGGGGTCCGCGGGCCGAGTCGGGGGCCCCTCGGCCAGAAGGCAGCACATGGCCTCCTCGTAAGTGGGGATGGCAGCCACCTCTGGGAGCCTACGGGACAGAAGAGCGGCTGTAGCAGGGGCGAGGGCGAAAGCGACTGCGTGAAGGGAAAGAGCAGGGAAGGCTGGGGCTGGGGAAGACTTCGTGCCCTGGTCCAAACCCTGTGCGGGCCTCCTGGCGCCTCGGCTACACTCTTGGAGCTTGGCATGAGCCAGCCCTGGCAGCCTCAGCCCTCCCCTCTGCCCTCCCTGCCCATGCCGTTAGCTGCCCACACATGCTCCTTGCACCTCCTCAGCTCTCTCTGCAGGGAAGTCCAGCCCCGCTCGGCTGGAACCAGTCCCCACTTGTCCTGTGAGATGCCTCTGCTAAGCTTCCTTGGCTGGTCCCTCCCCCAGCATAGCTCTCACTCCCTGCTCTGGGCTCCCAGAGCACTCTCCCCCTGTCACCGCACTGACCCCACCAGGGACTGAGCATCCAGGGGCTGAGGGCAGGGGTCTGGGGATATTTGCTGAAAGACAGAGTGATGGTTCATACGCAGAAAGACTTCTAGCTTATTGTAATATCCCTTACAAGATCTGGAGTTGTGGATGCTTAAGGAAGGATGGGAGACAATTCTCCTGCCCATCTGGACACTTGAGACCCCATATGATAAGTCTGCAGAGTGATTACCTACGCTTGCATAACCCCAGAGATGGAGAGCTCAGTATCTACCAGGTCAACCACATCTATCTGTAAACAGCCTGGCTTTCCTGTGACGTGCCCTACCTCCAATAAATGAACTACCCTGCAGGGATTTAGGACAGAGACCAGGTCCTGTGAGGCTTCTCAGACCAGGCTCCATGGGCTAGATTCCAAAAACAGGTTACCCGTATCCTAGCCACAATGCTCTCAGAAACCTGGTGGGTCACCTCTAGGGAGTTAGTGCTTCTTCCCTTCCCAGGACCCTGGCGGGTGGGAGTGTCACTGATCCTAGGTCTGGGCTGTTTCGGCTTTGGTGATGATGCTGCCAGATACAGGGGCCAACCATGTGATCCTGAAGGTCGCTTTCCACACCGAGTTAGGAGTCGGGCTCTGGCTAGTTCAACTTTCTGCTCTGCCCCATTCTTGGTGGAAGATGGTGGGGTCAGTAACTCCATTAATCTGAGCCTCAATTTCCCCATCTATAAAATGAGGACAAAAATGGCACCTCTGTCACGGGACTATATGAAGATAAATTGAGATGATATAGGGGAAGGGGCACTTAGCACACGCTCCATAAACAGGAGCCAATAACAAAATCTCAAAAGACTCTGTGAGGAAGGGGCATGGGGGACAAAACTTGTCTCAGAGAGCCTGTCACTTGCCCACGCTCATCAGTCTGGAGCGGATGAGGAAGCAGTTCAATCCACACCCGGGGGTCTGCCTGTCTAGATGGCAGGAGGCCGGCCCTGGGGGTCAGAAGAGGTGGTGGAGGGAACTTCACTCTCCGGGCTGGTGGGGGGCTGTGCTGGACACCGGCTGCTGCCCCTCATGGGAGCCCCCGTCACCCGCCGGGGGCCATGGCCCTTCTCTGGACAACGTGTCTTCTCAGCCCCAGGCAACCACAGCCTTCAGAGTGACCCCCTGGGGAGATGGGCTTGCTGCTCCAGTCACAGACAGGGTCACGGTGGGGAGCCCAGGGCCGACCCCCAGCCTGATGGAGGGCACCAGCCAGGAGCCAAGCCTGGGCTCCCCGTCCATGCTTCTCCCACTGACCCTCCTCCTCTGGAAGACAGCCCGGGAGCCCTGCAGCTGAGGAAGCTCCTAGGGGGTCTCATTCTCCTCTGAGTTCCCAGCATCCTTTGCATGTGAGGGCAGGCAAAGAATTTTGCTTCTGGAGGCCAGCAAGCCAGATTCTGTTGTTGTCTATTGTTGCGTGACCTAGGCCGTGTTCACACGGCCTCTCTGAGCCTCTTTCTCCTCATCTGTAAAATGGGGATAACAATTCCCATTTAAAGATTCAGGGACGGGGAAAATGGAAAAAGCTCTGACAACTCAGAAAAAGGCGGGTAATGCAGCTTCCAGAGCCCCACGTCCTCTGCCCTGCTCCCCTCCCAGCACACCCCTGCCTCTCCCTGTTTCTCCAAGCTCTGGAGATGTGAGCCAGATGTGCGGTACACCTGGGATGATCTGAGCAGGCAACAGCTGGCTGGGCAGGGCACAGATGCCAGGTAAGCTCAGCCCACAGCAGGATGTTTGCTTATAGGGCAGACATGGAGTGGCCCTCATGCCACCTGATGTGGCCTTAGTAACCAGCTGCGCCCAGCCAGCCCCAAGTTCCATACCCGCGGTCCAGAGGCTGGGAACTTGGGGACCACGAGGCCCCATGCAGGGCGGCCATATCACACACACTTCCGGATGGAGGCTCCATTCATGGAATATTCTGGATACGGCGCCCTGCAGGTGTGTGGGGCGGGTCTGCCACTAGGATCCCCGGGCACAGCAAGCTCCACCTAGGCTAGGGCCTGCCCTAGTCCCTGGAGCCCCATGGGGGCAGGAGGCCTGAGCCCCGCATTCCCTCTTCTACCCTTCAGCTGAGTCGGGCAACCACAGTAGGGAAAGGGACAAGGATGAACTACTATTTGCCCAGTGTGTAAGTTCCCTAATCTACGTCATGTCTGTGACAAGCCTGGGGGCATGGCTCTCAGCCATTGTACAGACAAGTAAAGGTCACGCATCAACTGAACAGCAAAGCCCCAGCCCTGTCTAATTGCAAAGCTCAAGCCAACAGCACCTATCACCCTTCTTCCCATCCCAAACCCTAATCTATCCACACCTTAGCTATCTTGTGTGTAAAATGGGCCTAATCCTTACGCTTACCTCCTACCGTTGAGGCTCAAATCAAGTGAGTGGGCACCAGAGTGCCCGGCAAGCTATAAAGCACAGTCATGCCCAGCAGCAGAGCTAAAGTGTGCAAGAACCTTGCAGGGCCTACACTTCCTCATCCATCACCTCATCCGAGCCTCTCAGCCATCTCAGGGGAAAGTTCTGTCACGGCCAGAAGACAGATGAGGAATTAGACACAGTTCAGAGTCCAAGTAACATGCTCAAGGCCACACTGCTTATCGACGAAAGAGCAGACGCTGAAAGCCTCACGTCTGAATAGACGCAGGCTTTTTCTGCTGGGCTCACTGAGGGTGGGGGCCCTGGGAGTCCTCCTGTCCAGCCGCCAGCAGAGTAGCCTCTCCGTGGGGGCCAGAGGCTGGCCTCACAAAGCAGCAGGGCCGGGCGATGTCAGCTTCAGGGACAAGAAAGTCATTCACAGAAGCAGCCTCCCCGACTTCTGGCCATCCTCGTTCTGGACCTATGACTTGGGTCTCCAGACCTGATGGGCCATGAGCACCCTCCTGGGTGGGCTACTCCCTGGCCCTGCAGGGAATGAAGGCAAACTGGCCCCACCTGACACACATACTGTGGCCCCGACCCTGTTGAGTCAACACGCTTGTGTGTACAGACAACACCCACCCCAAGCGGTCAGGCCAGGCTGGGCGAGGACGGAAAGGCCGTAGCCCAGCGCACCCCGAGGGCTGGCCTGGTTCCAGTCAACCACTAACTCGCTGTGTGACCAGGTAGGTCCTCGGTCTCTCTGAGACCAGGCTTTTCAGCAGAGAAGTGAGGGAATTGGCTGGAGAGTCCCCGAGGCCTTGCCCTTCCCTCTAACAGTTGGGTCAAACCAAGGCCAGACCATTGTACCAAGTGGCCCCTGGTGAATACGCTATTGTCTCTGACCTCGGGGAGTCACAGGCCAGCAGGAAGAATTTGTTACATTCTTTAACTCAGAATACATTTTCCCCTCTCCCTAAGGGGAGAAGGGTGTCCAGGTCCCAGGCTAGCTCACTAATGTCTGGCTTAGCCCCTAACACCCCAAAACCCAGGGATTGCAGGCTGGGGTGGGAGAATGGCAGCTTTGCAGCCAGCAGGCTTGGCCACTTGCTAGCTGGATATCCCTCACCTTCTTCTTCTGTAAATGATAACAGTGATTTTTACGTTGCAGGCAGACAGGACTGGAATTGTAGGCAGGCCCTGGATATGTAGGCACAGCCCATACTTGACTGAATGAATAAATATGTAACAAGTGTGCACTGTAATGCATGCATTCGCCACAGGGCAAAAAAATGGGTTCTTGGTATCTTGGTGATACTCCGTTTATGTATATAATACAAATATACATATAGAGCCAACAGTGTATCTGTGGCATGAACATTTCATGGAGGGGGTGGGGGATGAAGAAAAAAAAAGCCTAAAAAGGCTCCTTAGAGGGAGCAATCATTTTTAAAAGGTTGAGAAATATGGTCTTAATGCAAGATTTTGTCTCCACCCCCACCCTGCCCCCGAGCCTTTGCACAGGCTCTTCTGCCTGCCTAAACTGCCTCTCTCTACCTTATCCACTTGAGGAAAGGTTACATTTACTGTGCATCTACTGTGTGCCAGGGGCTGGGCTAAGTTCTGCATCTGCATGTCCGCTAAGCTAAGGAGCAGCGAGAGCGCAGACTCTGGGTTCAGGTCCTGACTGTGACACGCACTAGCTGGGTGTCCTTGGGCAAGTCAGTTCATGCTTGGGTGCTTCAGTGTTCTCATCTATAAATGGGGTACAGGACACACTTCAGAGAACTGCTGTAAATACAAAATGAATAAATATATGCAAAGCACCTAGAACAGTGTCCGGCACATGGGTGAATACAGGTGTTTGCTATTATTGTGCTGTTCTCTGTCTTACTTCAGATGAGTAAGTTGAGGCTCCGTAGGGTTGCACGATCTACTTTCCTACTTGCTAGTTAGTGACAGAACCAGGAAAGGATCCCAGTAGGTTTGACTCCTGGGCCTGGGCTCTTAACCTCTTTGGTCCTCTGCCCCATATCATGCTGAGCTCAATTGCCACCTCCTCCAGGAAGCCCTCCTGGATTTCTCCACATCTCCATAGGGCCATGTCTGCCCCTCTCTGACAGCTCTAACTACCTTGGTTTGTCAAAGTCTGACAAAGGGCTTTAAACTCCTCCAAGACAGTGCTGATCAGTCTCCAAATCCCCAGGACATAGGCCAGGCCTGGTCCAGAGGAGAAACCCCACGAGAATTTGCTACACAAAGTCCTGATTGCGTGACAGTGCCTTATACACCAACCCCCACTCATCACCTCCACCCTGCCCTGCTGACCTATAGCTCTCCTTCTCCGAGGGCTCCGCAGTGAGGTAGTACAGGTCTCTGGAGAGGTGATATGGGTCCCACCGGGGAGGCCCCCGGGTGCTGGCCTTGATGGACCACAGCAGGCCCAAGAGTAGTAGCAGGCCTCCCGCGCCGCAGCAGAAGAAGCTGACCGACCTGAGCAGGGGCCTGGGGGCCTCAGGCATGGGGTGCCCAGTGGGTGGGGCCAGCTGGCCGGGCTGAGCCCCTGCCTCTCCTTCACTCCACCAAGCGAAGCAGAGTGTCCCAGCTACCAGAAGCACCGTGCCGCTGACCGTCACGCAGTAGCGCAGAGCGGAGGCCCCTCGGCTCGCGTCACACGTCTGAATACAGAGAAGGGGAGAGAGGAGAAAATGGGCCATGAGAGAGGCCTGCCGTGGGACTGGAGACCCCGGTCTCAGTCCTCCCCTGCCTGTCTGAGGTCACCGTGTAACCTTGGAAAGGTCATTTGACTCCTCTGTGCCTCTGTTTTCCTCATCTGTAAAATGGAGATGATACTCCCAACTCCGCAGTGCTGTTTCAGAGGTCACTGAGAATGTGTCCCAAGTTCCAAGCACCATGCCTGGGACCCAGCAGGGGCTCAGTAAGTGTGGCCCTGTTCACTCTGGGGGCCCCCCCAGGCCTCACAGGCCCCATCAGCCTGGTGCATATGACTTTGTGGTGAGTGCCACCATCATATGTCTAATTGCGGTGCTTTGACATCTAGGGACACACGGGTCACAGGAAAAGTGAAGCCTCCAGTGACCTCCACATGGCTGCGTCCCCAGGGCCAGAAGCCCTGTCTCCCAGGCCCAGAGAGTTCACCAGTGGTCTTTAATGGCCCAGGGCCGAGGCCCCAGGAACTGCTCAGGCACGATGGGGTCAGTTGCCCACCTGGTGGTCCCTGATCCCAGGGGGTGCCATGTCCTGAGCCCCTGCCAGAGCCACTTCTCCCCTCCCTGCCTCAGTCTCCCTCCTCCTCATCCGTCATGCCCATCAATAGCACCTGCTTCCACACTGGGGATCTTCCCAGGGGTCCCCACCTTCCCATCCTACCCCAGTTACCACACCTGAATATTATGGGCATCCCTCCATTTCTCTCTCCTTCCCATCACTGTTCTAGCCCAAGCCACAACTGTCTCTGCCCTGGACAACTTCTAAGGCCCGCTTACTGGCCTCCCCACCTCCACTCTTGACCCCTGCACTTGCTCTCTGAACTATGAACTGAGTCAACCTTCTAGAAGGGAAATCTGAGCAATTGAAATTTCTCTGTAGAAAACTTCCAGGGGGCAAAAGTAGGGGAAATGTACAAATGGGTATACAAAGGATGGAAAAATTAATATATAAAGAAGTTATTTTTTAAAAGATTTTATTTATTCATTTGACAGAGAGAGAGAGCACAAGTAGGGGAAGTAGAGGCTGCGGGAGAGGGAGAAGCAGGCTCTCCGCCAAGCAGGGAGCCCGATGTGGGGCTTGATCCTAGGACCCTGAGATCATGACCTGAGTCAAAGGCAGACGCCTAACCAACTGAGCCACTCAGGTGCCCCAAGAAGTTACTTTTAATGGTACCCAGTGCTTGGCATGTATCCACTAAACCCTTGCTCCTCAAAGTGCATCTGGGACCAGCAGTGTCTTTTGTCAAAGACCTAAGTACAAGTCATTAATGAAAGAAATTGAAGAAGGCACAAATAAATGGAAAGATATTCTGAGCTCATGGATTGGAAGAATTAATATTGTTAAAATGTCCACACTACCCAAAGCAATCCACAGATTCGATGCAATCCCTATCAAAATTCCAATGGCATTTTTCACAGAAATAAAAAATACAATCCTAAAATGTATATAGAACCACAAAAGACCCAGCATAGCCAAAGCAATCTGAGAAAGAAGAACAAAGCTGGAGGCATCATGCTCCCTGATTTCAAACTATATGACAAAGCTATAGTAATTGAAGTATTGGAAATAGTCTTGGAATAAAAACAGACATACAGATCAATGGAGCAGAGCTAAGAGCCCCAAAATAAACCCACATATATATGGTCAATTAATTTACAACAAAGGAGCCAAGAATATACAACCAGGAAAGGACAGTCTCTTCAATAGGTGGTGTTGGGAAAAGTGGACAGCTACAAGCAGAAGAATGAAACTGGGCCACTTTCTTACACCATGTGCAAAAATTAATTCAAAATGGATTAGAGACTTGCATGTAAGACCCAAACCACAAAATCCCTAGAAGAAAACATAAGCAGTAAGTTCCTTGACATGGGTCTTAGAGATGGTTTTGGTAATCTTACACTAAAAGCAAAAGTAAAAATAAATAAGTAAAATTATATCAAACTACCAAACTTCCACACAGCAAAGGAACCATCAACAAAAAGCAATCCAGAGATGCCATCAGCAGTGTTTGCCACTCAGGAGAAGGATCTAGAAGGTGTGCCCTTGTTTAGGACTACAGCACTACCCAATCCAAGTGTGTTTCATTCTAGACAATGTTTTTAATCGAGACAGCATTCTTAATAAATCAGCAAAATACACATAAAAAAAAGCAATCTAGGGCGCCTGGGTGGCTCAGATGGTTAAGCCTCTGCCTTCGGCTCAGGTCGTGATCCCAGGGTCCTGGGATCGAGCCCCGCATCGGGCTCCCTGCTAAGCAGGGAGTCTGCTTCTCCCTCTCCCTCTGCCTGCCACTCCCCCTGCTCATGTGCGCTCTCTCTCTGTATCTCTGTGTCTCAAATGAATAAATTAAAAAAAAATCTTTAAAAAAAAAGCAATCTACTGCGTGGGAGAAAATATTTGCAAATCATATATATGATAAGGGACTAATATATAAAATATATTGAGTTCATACAGCTCAACAGCAAAAAAACAAGCAATCCAATTAAAAAATGGGCAGATCTGAAGAGACATTCTTCCAAAGAAGACATCCAGATGACCAGCAGACACGTGAAAAGATGCTCAAAACCACTCATCATCAGGGAAATGCAAATCAAAACCACAGTGAGGGAAAATGGTGTGGTGGTTCCTCAAAAAGTTAAAAATAGAAATACCCTTTGACCCAGAAATTGCATTACTAGGTATTTATCCAAAGGATACAAACTGTGATTCGACGGGGCACCTGCACCCCAATGTTTATAGCGGCAATGTCCACAATATCCAAAATCTGGAAAGAGCTCAGATGTCCATTGACAGATGAATGGATAAAGAAGATGTGGTATATATATGTGTGTGTGTGTGTGTGTGTGTGTGTGTATGTATATACAGTGGAATATTACTCGGCCATCAAAAAGAATAAAATCCTGCCATTTGCAATGACGTGGATGGAACTAGAGGGTGTTACGCTAAGCGAAGTAAGTCAATCAGAGAAAGACAATTAACCATACGATCTCACTCATATGTGGAATTTAAGAAACAAAACAGCCCTCCTGCCCTCTGCCAAGTCCCCTGGTATGCCCCTGCGCTCCTTCTCTGCTACTCTGGGCCTCTTGCCCTTTGCCCCTGAGCCATGTGAGTGAGCGCTTCTCACACTGTGCAGAGAGAGCAGGCTATTCGCCGGGCCCCCCGAGGCCCAGCCAGGCCTAGGAGGCTCTGGATATCCGCTCAAAGAAGAAGGAATAACAAGTGGTGAGGGAAGAAGGAGTGAACACTTGTCTTAATGCTTATTTAAGTGACTTCAGTTTTAGGGCTGGACACACGGGGTTACGAAGCAGCTGAGTGTCTGTCTCCTGGAGTCCGGGATAAAGCCAGTGGTGGCAGAGCCCAGACTTCCGGTTTAAGGTCCCTGTGGAGCCAGACCAGGGTCCCCGCCTGCTCCTCTCCGGGGAGGAGGGAGGGGACGCCTGGTACGTGCTGCCCCTTGCTACTTTGTGCTGCCACCTTGTGGCCTCACAGGGAGAGCTTGTGTGATTTTCCATCCCAAGGGCTAAAGCCTGAAAAGATTTGGCGTAAAATCGGTCTGAGTTGATTTAATCATAGTAAAGTGATTTAATCACTTCCCATCTCACTAATAAAAGACACACTCAAGTGCTAGTCATCGGGAGCTCACCAGTACACCCACACTGGGATGCAATTCCAAGCAAAACCACAATCCACCATGCTCTCGATAGCTTACGACTCCCTCCTTGTGGATAAGTGCATGGTTTATATTATGTCTTTTGGGATTTTGAAGATGGCCCATTTTCCAGGTTGGGGAGAGTGCACAATAGTATGGACTAAATAGCCCAGGCAGCCCAAGCTGTGTTTGCTTTGTTCCAGGGACTGTCCTCGGACTGGGGACTCAGGGAGAGCAAAACAGAGCTGGTCCCCACCCTCAGGGAGCTGAGACTCTGCAGGCAGAGACAGAGCTTAACCAAAGAATCACGTAAGTACATGATCTCAAACCAAGATAAATGTGCTGAAGAACATGTACACCGAGCCACCAAAGCAAAATAATAGGGGGATCATGTCTAGTTGGGGGGCTTGCAGGAAACACTTCCCTGGGGAAGTAACTTCTGAGCTGGGTTCTGAAGAATGAGTAAGAATGGAGAGAACAGCGCTGGTATGGACCGGCTTGTGTCTCCCAAATTCATATGTTGGAACGTTCACCCCCAGTGTGGCCATGGGGCCTTTAAAGACTTAATTAAGGCTAAATGAAGTCCTGGTGTTGGGGCCCTAATCCGGCAGGACTGGGTTACAAGAAGAGGAGCAGACACTAGAGATCTGTCTCTCTGCCTGGGAGAACAGAGGAAAGGCCATGTGAGGGCAGAGAGAGAAGGTGGCCACCTACAAGCCAAGGAGAGAGGCTTCACCAGAGACTAACCCTGCTGCAACCTTGAGACTAGCCTTCCAGCCTCCAGAACCGTGAGAGGGTACATTTCTGTTTGTGAAGCCTGTCTGTGCATTTTGTTAGGCAGCCTGAGCAGATTGGCACAAGTCCGTACACAGGTCCTGAGGTGGGCAGGGATCTGATCCATTAGAGGCACTGGAAGAGATCTGTGTGGCCAGAATGTGGAGAGAAAGGGGAAGGAGGGGCAAGCCGAGTCTGGCGAGGTTGGTAGGGGATCACCTGGGGTCTCCTGGGCCAGGTCTGTCTAGGAGCAACGGGAAATGAGTGACGGTCTGCAGGCAGAGGGTTGGCATCACATGCTTTATTTTAAGAACACCTGGTGCCACCTAATGAGTCAGAATGGGCACAAGTGGCTTGAGGGAGACCTGTAAGGAGGCTGTTGTAGGACCGGGTGACAGATGGTGGCAGCTGGTGCTAGGGAGATGGTGGGAAAAAAGTCTGTTGACTGCAGATATACAAAGGAAGCGAAATCAGCAGGGCTTGGTGATGGCTGTGGGGAGGGACAGCAGAGGGAGATCACAGTGATAACTTCTAGATTTCAGGCTTTTCCAACCCAATAGACAATGGTGCCACTTCCTGAGACAGGGTCACTGGGGAAGGATTGGGTTTAAGAGGGAGTTTGTGTTGGGTTTTAGGCAGGTTGAGTTTGAAGGGCCCGAGGGACACACACATAGAGATGATGGGTGCTAGAAACTGGCCAATTTTGCTACTTCCCAGCTGTGTCTTTGGGTAAGTTATGGACTGTCTTTGAATCTCCATTTTCCAAGCTCTCCAGCAGGGGGAAGAAAAATGATCACACTGAGTAGCTGCAAGGATTAAAC